AGCTAATAAAAGCTCAATAATGTACCTACTTCTAATAAGGCGGGGTAAGGTATACCTTAATACTACCTAAACGTTAAACGTTATTAAATAATTTTTATTGCGATTACTTACAGTTTAAAAATAATATGTTCAATTACCTAGTTACAATCCGGCTGATAATGACGATGAAATTCAATTAATTAAGTTATGAAAGTTTTACAATTTACCTTTCTGCGTAATTTTCTATTCGCAAAATAATCATCAATCGTCGGATGAAATCTTGATCATTAATTTTGAGCACTGTCTGTATGCACAAAATAGCTAAGGTGTTTAGCTTTTCTTGACTTTAGGTAGTTTAGTTTACGACGAGGTGAATTCTGCGACTTCACGTCTAAGCGCGTATTTTGCGTGTGGACAGAAATAATGTAATTATTCGAACCATGAAATCTCCCCGAAAAAGTTTAACGGTCCTTTGATGTTGCAAGTAACTTCAAGGAGTGATCCCGGCACGCCGGGATCACTCTGCCGGGATCACTCCTTGAAGTTAGGTATCGTATCGAAGTTAGGTATCTAAGTTAGGTATCGACTTTAGGTACATTTTAGATAATTTTTCAGCCATTTTAAGTAAGAAAAGCGGAAAAATTTGTCACTGGTGTACATAAATCCATGTGAACTGCTATATATATCCAAGTTTAGACAAACATATTGAAAATTCTGGTTTCGCAGGAACGAAGATAAAATTTCTAATGATCCAGAATCTGGTTTCACCAAAATTCTTTCAGAAGAAAAGTGACATTGAAAATGTATGAATTTTTGAACTAAGTCAGTCTCTAAATCATTAGGATACATTTCTTCCAAAAAAAGAGCTTTTTCTGTAATGGTTGATCTTGATGATGTTGTTGATTTTGGTCCGAAATGAAAAGTTTTTTTTAACCAACACCTACCGTTTTACTAATTCAGATACGAGTCTATCAATGAGGACGAGAAATCTATTAACCCTGAAAGTATCACTCGAAGTCATTCTCATTTCTTTATCAGGTGTCTCATCATATATTTTTTCCTTTCCAGTGGTATTTTCCCCCACGTCTTTTGTATACTGCTTCGACACTCTTATTTCGATCACTTTTTCTTGGAAATACTTAAAAATTTCTCGTTCAGCTACAAAGAACTGAAGAAGCGATAAGCTTCTGTGCAACATTCAGCAGCCGCAGTTGCCACTAAATTTTAATAGAGAACAGAGCAAGGAACGAAAAATGCAAAAGGTGCTCGGCTTTCAATTTTAGCCATTGTACACACACCAGACATGTTGCGGCATTATCATTCTACGGCAAGAAGCCTCTTCAGAACACTTTTCCAATAAGTAATTTTCCAAAAAATTATGTCAGAGAAATATCAGTACGTATTAGAAATATCACCAGGATTCAATCGAGGCAGCTTTTTTTGGCTTTGAAGTAAATACACCTATCTGTTTCGAACTCAATGCTAACACGCAGCGTAAGCCTTCAACAGCACGATCCTGCTGCGGCTCCCGCGGCGGCCGCACCTCGCTCGTTCAGTCAATTCATCAGCATTTCCATAGATAATATACTACATAGGGCAGGCATTGCGACCAAACACACTTAGCGAATGATCATGCCACTCGTTTCCGCGCCACAACCAAACGCGACTATGCAAATTGTAGCAAAATTTATGATCCAAGTGAAAAATGAAAAAATTTTAGCCCCAAATTTGCCGCCCCTAAAATCTGCCGCCCTAAGCTCCAACCTACTCAGGCTGCTGGTAAACCCGCCACTGACTAGATCTCTCCACATGACAAGGGAATTTAGGATTAAAACTCCATACAGCTTGTATCATAGATGTAGTGTAGTATGCTTTATCATAATATCTTGTATCATAGATGTAATATATCATAGTATATAGTGTTTCAAAAATCTAATAACTAACACCAATAAGTTTTCATATCTGTTGGCAGAGTACCTAGTTGCGAACAGTCATGTACCTACCATAGGGCTTGGAGGAGCAGTGCCCCGCGGCCCCGAATCCCTAAGGGCCCTTTATTTTACTAGCATCTAAAATTATCGCACAAGATCTTTTTATCGGGATAAAGGTATCCAATGTCTTACCCAAGTTGAGCTTTATCACTGCAAAATTTCATCCAAATTCATCCAGTAGCTTTCGTGAAAGCATAACAAACAAACAAACAAACTTTCACATTTATAACATTATTGAGAAGTGTGATTAAATATTATCTGCTGCGTAACACATGATACTAAGTAGTAAATAGCTTTGTCTTGCAGTGGGCAATAAGGAATTGAAAAGAAGTAGTTTTTAAAGTATTTAGTTTAGTTTAATAGGGCCCCAATCTTATTTATTTGCCCCGGTCACTTATTTACATAGCTACTCTACTGGTTGCAAAGCCTTGAGTTCTTGTAGTTTAGAATCACACCAAGATTAAACATTTGTATGGAAAAAAAATACTGACTTTATGGAGCTATATATATTGTTATTGTTCCTGTATTCGTGACATACCCAGAAAATAATGGGATGTTAATAGGGATGAATATTATAAATAAAATAAATCAATGTAATTAGCTGTAAATATAAATATCATTATTTATATATCTGAACTTAAATTTAAAATTTGGCTACTCTTTGAAAAATAACCCTGTATATACTAAAAGATAACACTGAACTTAATGTTTCTATTTTAAACTTAACTCCAAGATTACATACAGATATAAATGGGTGATGAATTCGCCATCAAACCTGCAGTTTGGCAAAAGTAGTTTAAGATATCGATAAATCCAATTGTGCATGCCTTAAGCGTATTAAAACTTACGTATAATATAATTATACGTTAATTTTTAAGTAGTTTAATTACACACAAGTTTTCACTTAAAACCTTATAATTATTATTATACTTCATATTTTCCGATAATTTTATCTCAAATTTCAATTTAAATCCAAAACTGCACTGCATATGATTGTGAAATAATTAAAAAAAATGTAATTTGTAGTTCTATTCATACCAATAGCAGTCACCGAAGTACACATTCAAGTCACTCTATCAAGTCCGGAGGCAAGGTCTCATCATAACTAACAAAACAAGGCCAAACTGGGCACATCTAGTTCTCCTCGTCGAGGAATTCCAGTAGCAGTCATCAAAGTTTACTTTCAAGTCACTCTATCAAGTCCGGAGGTAAGGTCTCATCATAACTCACAAAACGAGGCCAAACTCGGCACATCTAGTTCTCCTCGTCAAGGAGTTCCAGTAGCAGTCATCAAAGTACACTTTCAAGTAACTCTATCAAGTCCGGAGGCAAGGTCTCATCATATCTAACAAAATGAGGCCAAACTCGGCACATCTAGTTCTCCTCGTTGAGGAATTCCAGTAGCAGTCATCAAAGTTCACTTTCAAGTCACTCTATCAAGTCCGGAGGTAAGGTCTCATCATAACTCACAAAAAGAGGCCAAACTCGGCACATCTAGTTCTCCTCGTCAAGGAGTTCCAGTAGCAGTCATCACAGTATACTTTCAAGTCACTCTATCAAATCCAGAGGTAAGGTCTCATCATAATTAACAAAACGAGGCCAAACTCGGCACATCTAGTTCTCCTCGTCGAGGAGTTCCAGTAACAGTCATCAAAGTACACTTTCAAGTCACTTTATCAAGTCCGGAGGTAAGGTCTCATCATAACTAACAAAACAAGCCAAACTCGGCACTTCTAGGTCTCCTCGTCAAGGAGTTCCTGCAGCAGTCATCAAAGTACACTTTCAGGTCTATAAAGTCCAAGATGTATAAGTATATTTATATATAAATCCTGCATGCTTTTAGGCAAACAAAATATTGTAATTTTGGTCAAGTATGTATCAAATTTGGTTTAAGGAATATTTTGTATTTTGTATTTCAACGGCGATCTTTTTCGCTGCAAACAAGCAATACAATATCCACTCACAACGGCGGCCGAGGCCAGAATGACTAATGACGGAGTGAAACAGTGTATTCAGTAGAATAAATTAATACAAGGCTCACAAACCATCGAAAATTTCGCCATTACTTAGTAGAAAATTTTTCATTATAACTATACAAACCAAAATTAAACAGCCATTTACATTCCATGGCTTCCCACAACAAAATAGTTTAAGTTAAACAATTGATATTAGCAAAAGTTATAGTGTTTCACCACCATGCGGACTTGATAAAACCACGCTATAAGCCACTAAAACCCCTTTTTCTGCCGACTTCAAAAAGGAGACAGTACTCAATTCGACTGTATGTTTTTTGTGTGTTCATAACTTTTTACTGGGTGAACCAATTTCGATGATTTTTTTTTATTTGAAAGCTGGTACTTCACATGTGGCCCTATATGAATTTGATCAAGGTCAGACCAATAGTTTTAGAGTTATTCTCAATAATTTATATTGAAGTACAAAATTTTTAATTTTAAATTATTATTAAAAATAGCAATTAATCAATTTAAAAAAAAAATTAATAAGTTCAACAATCATTTATCTTTCTGACAATGTGATTTTTATATCATTTATATGTAAAATATGTTGGCTAGATAAGATTTCAAGCGTCAAAACATTGAAATCTTAATTTTTAGGCCCTAGCAGAACATACTTGCGCACTTACCACTTAAGGCATACAATATTGGCAACTGTACTATTATTTTACTGTTTTGACCTAATGAATATCCTTTTGTCACATTGAAATTGAAACTACATTTTTTTATTCTTCTCAATCAGTTCTCAAGTGCCTACTAGATAGAGAGACAATCTGAAAAGGCATGCAGAATTTAAATGGATGCAAGTGGCTCAGGGCCATTTTTGTGACATTCTTTGGGGGAAGCTTGTGGATGATGATGATAATTTCCTTTATCAAATTAATATAAATGTTAAATGGAATAATTATTGTTAATACAGGATAATTGATGATTTAGAAAGTGTTAAGACGCTTTTATGATTACTTTAAATAAAAGTGCATGTAGAGAAGTATTTGATAAAAATAAATATACAGACCTGTATGTGCATAAGAGATGGGTACTTTCCATATTGAAACTTGAGAGAACAACGTGGTGAAGAATTTGGCGATAGCAAGGGGAACGAGCATTCGCCAATAGTATGAGCGCGGATATTCAGGTTCACGTCGCACGCCGCACAGTGCAAAGGCCGGCGCACTATACACTACTACTGATAAAAGTTGCACCATTGTCACCGTTAAGGGGTACGGAAACTCAGTCATGGCAAGCTTTCCAACTACATTACTTGCTGAACTAAGCGTGTACCAAGCAATGCACAGCGCAACAACTGTCAAAGCTTCCCGTCGCCCACCTGCCGTACCCATTTTGTAGAATTGAAATCTCTTCTTCTACGTCTCTCACATCACTAAATGATTCTTCAAATGGGGTCTTATATTTGAATGAAACTTCATAGCTCAAGTATTTTCTTTTCGGAATTCACTAATTTTATAATTACGCCGTATCTAATTTTATAATTAAGGCATTACATAATTACAACATATCATTGCATAATTAAGATACTAAGCACTTTTCTGTTATAATTAACGTGAACATAATGATGTAAATTTGGTCAAAAATACAAGCACAGAAGACTTCACGTTCACGTAAGTTGACAACATTTGACATTGACGTCTAATGGTCCGTCATACGTCAATTAGTCAAATATTGTTTATACTTCTAAGTCAGTAATTGTTTATTATGTCAATTTACCCAAAGATCTTGTATCATACAGCCTAATCTCACAAAATTCTTCACAATATGCTGCATACATCACATTACAAAGCTTTTAGGTGATTTTGATGAAAGCCTAATCCATCGGACAATTGGAGGCTATACTCTCGTCAGAGAGTAGTATGTTCCTTGGGCAATAGTATTTCAAGCCACGCAAGTGGATAAAAAAATATCACTATCAAAGTACTACTTGTAACAGCGTTTCCACTATAATAGTACAACAGCTTTTTAATTAAGCGTAAAAATGTTCAAGAAAAGCTAATATATATCTATACGATAATATATATTTAGAAACTCCAAAAGAAACCCGTCTACGTTACAGCGTAAGCTCTTTAACCTCTAAATATATTCACATCAACACGGTATAGGGATATTTAAAAAAATGACCAACTAAAAAAGTACTGGCCACTACAAAATGTTTTTATCAAGAAATTGTTCTTCATTTATTCAAGATTGATTCCAAGTTAAAATAAAAAAATAAAATGTGTTGGTGGTAAAAATCGAGTTGAATTAGATAGAGTAAGCGAATTTTGTGCTTAGAGTAATTGTTATTCTTTTTTGTTGAAAACCGTTATTCAAACAATCTTTTTTATTCAACTTGCAATACAAGACAGGAACAGATGTTAAAGACGCTGTTTGAATGCTGCAGGGCGGCGCTTTTCAACGTGACATCACTGCGGCAATAGGCACCAGGCAAAATGTGATTTCGAGGTTGTGGTCACGCTATCGTGACATGGAGGAGGTGGCGGAGAGACATCCAGAATCAGTGGCGTAACAATACCGTTAGAGGCCCGTGGCAAATTCATCGGATGGGGCCCTCTCCTACTCAATATTGACCCTTTTCTTGTCTCATGAATCATATAATATGAATATTAATTTCTCATATCGTTTTTAGTTATTGCTATGAAGCAAAATTTGGTTACCATTTCTGCAGTTACTTGTTGACAGTGACCGAATAAAATCCGGATGTTAAAAACAAAACTAATTAAAAAAATCAGTACGCGCTTTATTTAAAATGTATCTCGTAAAGTCAAATTTTTCATAAACACTTGACTTTAGACTTTATCATGTTGCAGTAAAGTTTTAATTTAAAATAACAGCTTAAAGTTTTGGTGTTCACATTTAGGTTGGCAACCAAACAGTTTGCAACAACAACCAACAATAAATGTGACAGAGTTCGGCCGATATTCACTTCGTCTCCTTTTTACGTTTGGCAGTGTCATCAGTTAAAACAGAGACGTGGCAACTATCTACTATGTTGATAATTACGTTGTTTCGCCGCGGAACGGAATTGATATATTTTACGTTATGAGAAGTTACGTTAGCTGTGTTGCGTTTGGATTCACTTCCATTGAGCGTTATTGTAAAAACCGTTATATTTATTACGTGTCAACCATTTTTTGTTAATTAATAATAAATAATAGTAATAATTTAGTTTAACGAGCTCATATCTAGATTGTGATTGATAGATTGATACACTTGTCATTGGAGTTATGGCGGAAATTTGACCGGTACTTCCTGCATTATTGTTTAAAAATAGCTTGAAATGGATTTTGATATGTGAAAGTGATGCAATTTTGTGTATTAAATGTCTGCGCATGAGAACTATTAGTGAAAATGGTGAAACAAGTGCGATGTTGATCCGATGGTGATGTGAATCTTAAGATAAGGTGTCTGTCAGCTAAGGTGCCTTGTATACTATTGCCAGCAGTCTGCTGGTTCAAGTTGCCGTCAAAATCCCCAAAAACTACGCAATGTGACGCATCAACATAATATTGTAAAGCGTGTGCTTTGAAAGATTATTATGACTTGATACTGAGATAAAAATAAATACATGGCTTAAAGAACAAGCATCTAAGCTAAAAAATCTTAATAAAAATACACTTGTCAACTTGTCATTGTCAAACAGAGAAAGTTTATAATAGATATTAGATACCTACTTTTCATTTACATTTACCTAAAGTAATACTACATGTTAGGTACTTTATAATTTTATCATTTAAGTAGATTTAAATAATAATTGTCGAATTAATACAAATAAATTAGTAAAGTGGATTTTAAGTTAGGTTCTTAATACCCAAGTGTGACAAAGATTTGTTAAAAAGTTTCGTGTTTATCACAAGTGTAACTACTACTTATCTTAAGATTGTCTTGATGGATATCTACCGAAAGTATCATCATATCATCTAATCATCTGGAAATATTAGACTTGTAAGTTGGTCTATATTTACTTAATTTATTCTTTTAGATTTTTTAAGTTTAAGAATATTTATCTTAATACTTTTGCTACTCACTTCTTATAGAAGTAATTGAAAAATATTTTGAGTCCCAGGTCGACACTGTTAAAAACGATAACGACATTGAACTACCAAACCAAGTCTTTTAATAAAATAAAAATAATGCCTGACTTTATATTCCTGCATTGTTGTTTTCTATTGTTAATAATTGAATTTGAGTTTTGTCATAAAGTTTATTTCTTACTTTAAGACTATTATTGTCATTATGGTCACAAGACTATTAGTTTATCTGGGTAGGTAACTATGTCCCTTAATTTTTTCAACCAGTAACCAAAGGTATTCATTCAATTTACTATAGGCACCTGTTGACTGGAATGTTCTGGTTGTTATTCTTTTACTTTTCCGACATAACCATAACAGCTCAATCTTTGTTTTTGTACGAGGATTATGAGAATTCTGGTATACTCTGGCAACTGGTAAAAATGTGACAATAGAGCCAGGCTGTTGCATATCATAGTTGTAAGCACAAATGGGTTGGCTTGATTGGGAAAGAACTACACTGGTACAGCATTATGTTGTTGTGCCTTGTATGGTAAGAGGCCAGAACTAGAGACCCTTTTTATAAGCAACAAGTCATTCCAAGTTCGTCCTTAGAATTGAATTGTATATTTTTTGTATATATTTTTTAAAATCTTTTTTAAAGAATGTTACCCTCACACTAGGATTTTCTCCTGTTTCATGGAGGCACTTTGCAAATATAAATTGCACAAGGACAAAGATCCAGACCCAAAACAATTATTTGTAGGCCATACAGTTAACAGTGGTACAGCCACGCGGCAGCTTTTGCTGTTGCAAGGATGGGCCGGCTCGAACCGGGGTGGTACCACGACCTTACAGAATACCAGCATGAAGTAGAGGTTTACCTCTGTGTTTCGTTTGGTAAGTGCAGGTGGCCGGAGGCCCTTTTTACTGGAAATGAGGCATTACATCTTAGTCCTCACGGGTGACAACGCATCTGCATTTTGATTTGCAAACGAGGATAGTTGTAGATGTCTATGGGCCGCAGTAGCCACTTACCATCAGGTGGACTGTGTGCTCGTTTGTCACCCTTATCCTAAAATAAAAAAATACACATACTTGATCCGTGCAGGATTCGAACCCGCAGCCCCCAGTGCTGTAACTCATTGCTAAACCATTGTGCCATGGAGCCTTCAACATATGCTATGTAATATCTTAGTTAATTGTGAGCAGAGTCTAAGAAGGCATGGTGCAAAAGTGACCATTGCATTTCATCATTTTTTGACAAATACTAAACTTAATTTTTGAAAAAATCTAGTACACATAAATTGTTAGTCTAGGTAGGCTGTGGCTTTAATACATTGTGCACTAACATATAGTCGATTCACTATAACTCCATTAGACAACTGCGAGCGGGTGTGAAGATTAGTTCATTGTTTTGTAAACTGTGATAATTTAGTCCTGATTTTGTTTAATGTAAGTAAGAAAATGCTGTTATTATTTATGAGCTTACTCTGATAATGTGATTTGAAATCACATTATCAGAGTGTTATTCAGATAAGTATGTCATTTTTTTTAGTGTGAATGAAAATTTAACCATTATCTTGTATTGCATATTTATTATGTCAGCTACCAGCTCGCGTTCACATTAGCGCTATCCACAGCTGTGGCACGGTTTTTGCTCTGACTGCTTGTCATATTATTCTGAATTGTCTGTCTAGTATTATACATAGAAGTAAGTCTTTGTTTCTTTAATATGCATATTTTGCTATAATTTTTTTCTTCACCATAGAGCATAATATGATAAATGAGCACTTGAAATTGTGATAAATAATTTCAGTGCCTCTAATAGGGATGGAATTTGTTTTCTTTTTGTTATAAAATTTAAAGGCCAATGCTTAGACAACCAGAATTTCACACATTTCAACAAGTTTGATGTCTAGGATATTGCAATTACTTTTCATGATTGTGGTAGATCAAGCGGTAGAATGGGTGTAAAGACGGAAACAAAGGCGGGGGGGGGGGGGGATTGACGTGTCGTGTCTTTGTAAGAATGCAATAACATTTTACAATTGTGGTAGATCGAGCAGTGTGTGGAGTGCGGGTGCGGAGCGTGAGGTGCGCGTGGTGCGGGTGCGGTGATGCCGCGATGGCCGGGCGGCGCGTGACGCGCAAGTGGGAGGTGTTCGCGGGGCGCAACCGCTTCTGGTGCGACGGGCGGCTGATGACGGCGCCGCAGCCGGGCGTGTTCGCGCTGACGCTGGCGCTGATCTGCGGCACGTGCGCGCTGCACTTCGCGTTCGACTGCCCGTTCCTGGCGGCGCGCGTGTCGGGCGCGGTGCCGGCGCTGGGCGCGGCGCTGTGCGGCGCCACGCTGGCGGCGCTGCTGCGCACGGCGCTGTCCGACCCCGGCATCATCCCGCGCGCGGCGCCGGCCGAGGCGGCGGCGCTGCAGCAGCTGCAGCAGCCGCAGCAGCTGCTGCAGGCCGAGCCCGACGCCGGCCGCCCGCCGCCGCGCGCGCGCGAGGTGCTGGTGCGCGGCCGCCCCGTCAAGCTCAAGTACTGCTTCACCTGCAAGATGTTCCGCCCGCCGCGCGCCTCGCACTGCTCGCTCTGCGACAACTGCGTCGACCGCTTCGACCACCACTGCCCCTGGGTGGGCAACTGCGTGGGCAAGCGCAACTACCGCTACTTCTACCTGTTCGTGGTGTCGCTGTCGTTCCTGGCGGTGTTCGTGTTCGCGTGCGCGGTGACGCACCTGGCGCTGCTGGCGCGCGGGGAGGGGGGCGAGGCCCGGGGGCTGGCGGCCGCGCTGCGCGCCTCGCCCGCCTCCGCGCTGGTGGCCGCCGTCTGCTTCCTGTCCGTGTGGTCGGTGCTGGGGCTCGCCGGCTTCCACACCTACCTCGCCTCCACCGACCAGACCACCAACGAGGACGTGAGTGCGCCATCACTAGCCTTCTTATGTGTCTCCGCCCAGATATAGTTCAGCGTTACGCAGTTTTCATTTTTGATGTACATACCGTGTTTGTGAAACGCTCCCGAAAACAGACAGATAATAGTACTAACGATACCTTTGATGATGGGTCACAAAGAAATTCGATCCCGAGGAAAAAAAATCATCTTTTCACAACGTTTTATTAACTTTATTCACGCTCCATCATGTTAGTACAACTAAATGAAACGATAATTACATTAAAAAAATCATGAAAATACTTAAACATAAAACCAGCTGTGAAACTTAAAATAAAATCAGCTGACAATAGGGTCAATATTCTTGTGGACACCGAACTATTATCTAACTCGGTGTGAAACAATGCCTACTAGGCATAGGTTAATATCACTTTTACCCTATATCAAATCGCACCTATGTATTGGATATGAAAATCCGATTTTGTATCTATATATTTCAATATCTATATATTTGTTAATATCTTCGTTCTGGATAGAAGTCAGTACTCAGTATAACATGCAGGCGATTTATGAACGAATTTCCATATATTGATTTATAGATATATTGTATTATTTATGTAATATAAGTATTCTTAATGTATGTCATAATATAAAAAGTGACATATATATATATATATATATATATATATATAATCAATAGGATTTATCCTGCGAGATAATGAAATAGAATATTAAATTGAATCGTGTCGTGTTTATGCCATCTAGCGTATAATGTACGTACCACCTTGAGCATTAATCAATTTTTATTCAATAAAATCACTTTACGTATAGAACCTAGAAGGTGGTGCTATTACAAAGTATATTTTACTCCTTTACTCTAAAAAATATATTATTTTAATTTATTGCACTTAACTTTAGGCTCTCCATATTTAAATATAAGGATTGCAACTTTTATTTGCTATAAAATTAAACCTTTATATTTGATGCCCAACTTGTGGTTATGGTTAGTGGTTATACCCCTACGCCAAAGGAAATTATCCCATATCTAGAAAACGGGTATAGTTTTTCAGAAACGGTGAAATAAACTTTCCTTCATAATTTTCTGTTTTAATTTACATACCAAAAATAACATTCTATTAAATACACAATAAGATCTAAAATAGTTTATTTTGAAAACAGTGAAACACAACAAAATAATAATAACATTATACTACTTAGACTGGATATTGAAAATTACGTGTTCTGTAATAAATCTTATATTACTAATAAGGATTAATATCAAAAATATTAAGCGTAAGCGTATCATCACCTTTTCGTTGTAAAGTAGTCGTAATATCTGTTTTAGCTATATATTCTATCGCGCTCAAGGCATTAGATACTCTGCGATGACTCATATCAACACGGTATCGTAAAATCGTAATATGTAATACATAGTCAGTTTGTCGTCGGATATATTCGACTTATATTGGATATTGTACTGATATATAGATATTGTATTTATATACGATATGTATCACCCACTCCTAATGCCTACTCACTCTACCCTTCCCTTTCACACACACACACACACGCTACCGCTGACCGGCCGGCTCGTGTCGCCTCGCGCTTTGGAATTTACACATGTCAGCTTTGCCAGGGTGTAGTGCAACTTGTATTGATAATATTTTTACAGGTGTTGTACCAATCAACAAATCAATAATTCAGAAACTTAGTTCAGATCACTGTGGGCAATTGGTTTCATTACCTTATTGTTACGGCCTACGGCTGCTCCCTTAAAGGTCAAATCCTCAGGGGCCCATTCAGCTGAGTTTCGACGAGCAGACGTAGGTCGGGCCTCCTCCAGGCCAAAGTGGAAAATCTCTAATTACACTAGACTATATGGGGGAGCGTTCTATACTACGGCAATTCGACCGGGAGAATATTAGACGGAGCTTACTTACCTATATCCAAGGCGACTGGTCCCTCCGTAGTCGGTCAGGTCGCATGTGGTTGTGTAGTGCAAGGGAAATAAGGTGATGTGATGTGTATCTGGATGTGACTGATGGTGATTGACCCGAGTAGACCTTGGCCGTCGGCAGCAGCCCGGGCGTCGACACCGCTCCAAATTGAGGGAACCTTCCGTGGCGTTGTCCACAGTCACTTTCCTCGTTCGTCACGATGACAGTCCATTAACTCTATCGTACGATTAACTAACTTACAGAAGCCACTAACTCTCGTTTGTTATAAGGTTAACGCACAAAACGAACACGGAGGTCAAAGGTCACTACCCTTTCGCGTAGCAACAGTTATTTCTAGAATATCAAAGGCCGCACTAGCTAATATTGTCGAATGCACTTATACAGATTCTGAGTCGGACCCAATAAGTCTCGGGAAAGGCTATCCAACAAGGAATTCGCGTTATAAATCCTAGACAGGATGTTTACTAGACGTCTAAACTATTCCGCGGTTCCCGAACAAAAATGACAGTGTGCTATCGTTAGCACAGCTGACAGACGACTGACTTGCACTCGCGCGTTCTACGCACGACCGAAAGTCAAACCGGTATGAATGCACCACGCCGAGCGCCCTCTCGCGTTAATTCTTGAAATTAGCGTTTGGCGCGAACACTTATATATACAAAAAACAGGTAATTGAGAAAAGTGTGTTTGTTCCTATTAATGCAAAACGCCTGGAGAGATTTAGAAATAATATGGTAAAAAACCTTCCATCGCTTTCTTATAAGAACTATGCTGACTATTTATATGGAGAATTATTTACCCTTATAAGCAATGAATTTAAAAAACATTTACTTCTAAAACATTTTCCAGAAACAGGTGCAAGGCATTTAATGAGTGGGCGACAGTAGGAATTCATAAAAGCAGACGAAGGTTATATTACCTTTACCATGAAAGATCATATAATCTTTCCGATGCTTTTAAAGAATATGTGAAAAATTATTCTAAAATGTTTAAAAGAGTTTGCTCCACAGCCAAATCATTACATATTAGCAACAAAATTAAGACTGCTAGGAATAAAATTAAAATGACGTGGAGTATAATTAACAGCAAAACCGGTAAAGACAAACCTCGTAACTCAAGCTATCAATTAAAAATTAACAATGAATTGACTAAATCAAATCAAGAAGTCGCAGCGGTGTTTGAGAAATATTTCACTGATATACCTATCTTGACAACAGAGTCATTGAATGTTTCTCCAACTGTCGCCGAGTCATTACTCAAACAGAATGTTTAAAAGAATTTAGATTTAAAAACGTATTATCGCAAGATGTTGTAAAATACTTCAAAACCATTGATGTAAAGAAGACCGCAGATTTGTGGAGGATTTCCGTTACAGTTATTGCGTCCATAATATATTTAATTGCACCTCATCTTGCTATTATTTTTAACACTGGTATCAATTCTGTTGTGTTTCCTGATTTAATGAAGTATAGTAAAGTAATACCTTTATTTAAATCTGGTAGTACCTTGAACCCCGCTAATTTTAGACCTATTTCTGTACTACCAACTCTCAGTAAAATTATTGACAAAATAATTTTGGATCAATTGTTAATTTTTTTTTAATACAAATACATTACTTCATAAAAACCAATTTGGTTTTACAAGGGGTCGCTCGACGTCTGACGCCAGTGTTGAGCTTATGAAATATATTTTTAATGCCTCGGAAAATTCACAAGATGCCTTAGGTATTTTCTGTGACCTTTCCAAGGCTTTCGATTGTGTTCATCATGAGACATTAATCAGGAAACTACAACATTACGATGTAAAAAATTTAGCGCTTAGATTATTACTTCATATTTAATTAACAGAACTCAAAAAGTCGTGATCAATGGTAAAGGTTCCTCCGGATCGGAAGTATCAATGGGCGTTCCTCGTCCAAAAAAAAAAGTATTATTTGCTGACGATACCTCTTTAATTTTCAAACTCAAACGGCAGTTGATAAATTATGAAAATGTAAATAATGCTCTATCGAAATTGGTACATTAGTTTAACTTCAATGGGGTCCCCATATATCTAAATCAGCAAGCGGACTTAGTTCTGCAGCATATGCTGTAAGAAAGATTAGAAGTCTCACAGATGTTGAGACAGCTAGATTAGTGTATTTTAGTTACTTTCATAGCGTAATGTCTTATGGAATTTTGCTATGGGGTAATGCGACTGATATTGAAGCTATATTTGTATTGCAAAAGAGAGCCGTACGATTTATACCCTAAATTTAAAGAGTCCCTCAGAGAAAAATTTAAAGAAATAAACATATTAACTTTGGCATCGCAATATAAATATATGAAATGTATAAAATGTAATGTATGTGCATAAAAACATAAATAGCTTTAATAAGAATAAGGATGTGCATACTTTAAACACTAGGAACAAACATAAGCTTGTAATGCCAGTTACTAGACTCCACAGAATCAGTAATTCATTTATGGGGCAATGTATACGCTTTTACAACAAAATCCCGGAACATATTCAAAGTTTGTCAATAAACAACTTTAAAAGTTTTATTAAAGAAAAACTGTACAAAAAGGGTTATTATAATATAAAAAAAATAATAATCAAAATAATAATAATTCTTTATTATCAAAAATAAATCACAAGAAATTTTATGAAGTCTCTGACTCCTAAACTAGACGAGTCTGTATCTTAGGAATCAGCGGCCTCTCCCAGAGTTGTACTAAAAGAACAGGTAATACTACAATAACTATGCATGTTTTCATTGTTGAAACAAAAGAAAAGTAAACAACTTTACAAATTTAACAAATTTACAAAATTAAATCAAAAAATAATAAAAGTTGTAATATAATAAAGTATTCTATATGTGTTATATTTAATACTAAACATCTAAACATACATATATTTAATATACATATATACAAGACGAGCACACACATATATATGTGTATATATACTTATATAATTATCAAATATATATATATATATATATATATATATATATATATATACATACACATACATAAATATTAAAGTTCATATATAAATTATGCAATTTTACACTCGTGTTTTGAAA